GAGCAGGTTTGAAGCACCGGGGATACAAACTTACTTTAAAAAATTTGTATACACTGTTCTACTTGTGCTGCTATCAACCCTGGTAAGTCCCTAAAGGTCCCCAAGGGTACATTCCCACAACCAAAATACCCTTTCCAGAATATTTGTATGGACTTTATCGAATTAACACCAGCGGAAGGTAAGAAATACTGTTTGGTTATTGTGGATATGTTCTCTAAATGGGTAGAAGCTTTCCCCACAACCAAGGCTGACAGTATTACAGTAGCAAAGTGTCTAGCCAGGGAAATTATACCACGGTTCGGGATACCAGAAAAGGTATATAGTGACAATGGATCACATTTTGTCAATGAAGTAATAGAAAACCTTACCCAAAGTCTTAAAATACAAGTAAAACATCATTGTTCCTATCACCCACAATCAGCAGGCCTAGTGGAACGCCATAACGGCATTCTAAAGAATAAACTGGCTAAAATCAAATTTGAAACAGGGAAAAATTGGATATGGGGATTACCTGCTGCATTGCTTAGTATGAGAATTACAATAAATAGAACAGGATTAAGCCCGTATGAAATACTGTATGGCAGACAATTTAGAATACCTGACCTTGATGTTTCAGACAAAGATCCGGAGGAGTGGGAATTAGCAGAATACCTACGAGCAGCACTAGAGACCAGAGCAAAGTATCAGAGACCCCCAGATATAACCAGAGAGACAGACCACGTCCTCAAACCAGGAGATTGGGTATGGATAAAGGTAATTAAGCGAAAAGCATGGTGTGCCCCTAGATGGGAGGGCCCGTATCAAGTTCTAATATCCACCCCCACAGCTATACGAGTTAAGGAGAAGAAATCCTGGGTACATATTACACACTGTAAGATAGCCACCGTAAGCGAAGGGACAGAGCAGGGAACATCCACTGAACCCCAACCAGTTGAAAGTCCGGCTACAAAGGGGAGTGGAACTCAATAGGAGCACTCGTCTCAAACCGGTGAACAAATCAACCCTGGGATAAAGGTTCATAGGGATGGCAAATTTAGACAGGGACAGGTGGGCTATACTCAAACCAGGATTCTTTAAAACCCAATTAGGACGAACACTAATTGTGATATTACTGACACATACTACTGGACAGGATGAGGTTTCTATAGGAAACAGGAAGGCAGATGAAGCAGCCAAACAGGCTGCCCAAGGCAGACCACAGACTATATGCCTAAAAGAGGCATTAGCTATAACACATGACATTTTGAAAGAAATGCAAGGTAATGCCCCTCACATTGAACAACAACAGTGGGCGCGCAAAGGGTACACGCAGGACAATGAAGGAATATGGCGAGGTGATAAACCAGTGCTTCCCAGGTCCCTCTACAGATTAGCAGCTTTGGTGACACATGGTATCACACATGTGTCAACAGGAGGGATGGTCCAGACTATTCTGAGCAGGTTTGAAGCACCGGGGATACAAACTTACTTTAAAAATTTTGTATACACTGTTCTACTTGTGCTGCTATCAACCCTGGTAAGTCCCTAAAGGTCCCCAAGGGTACATTCCCACAACCGCAATACCCTTTCCAGAATATTTGTATGGACTTTATCGAATTAACACCAGCAGAAGGTAAGAAATACGGTTTGGTTATTGTGGATATGTTCTCTAAATGGGTAGAAGCTTTCCCCACAACCAAGGCTGACAGTATTACAGTAGCAAAGTGTCTAGCCAGGGAAATTATACCACGGTTCGGGATACCAGAAAAGGTATATAGTGACAATGGATCACATTTTGTCAATGAAGTAATAGAAAACCTTACCCAAAGTCTTAAAATACAAGTAACAAATCATTGTTCCTATCACCCACAATCAGCAGGCCTAGTGGAACGCCATAACAGCATTCTAAAGAATAAACTGGCTAAAATCAAATTTGAAACAGGGAAAAATTGGATATGGGGACTACCTGCTGCATTGCTTAGTATGTGAACTACAATAAATAAAACAGGACAGATTGCGGTAACTTTAAAAAATCCCAAACAGACACACACACACACACACACACATATAAAATGGGAATAACTGTCAAGGGGGAGGACCCTTGGGCTATGTTCTATATAAAATAACACCACCTATTAGTAATAATAGTGATGTCATGAACATCACTGTCACACCCAGTACCGAGAACACCATACAAGGCCATGTACTAACCACAGAGGATCTCTGGGCCATTGAAACGGGTTATACAGATAAGAATGAATGGTTACAATGGGTAAATTATACTACCAGACAGGCTAACAAATCTGATTGTATAGTATGTGCAGGAGCCAGACCGGCTCTTGCTACAGTTCCCATACCACAAGAAGTAAACCTGACATGTATATTATCTTTGATGCAAACTAACATAACACTTTCTGGGTGTGAATATGAAAATGCTCTTTTTCCCAGAACCACCATGAAATCCAAACCCACCGGAGTAACAGTATTTAAGGGTAATTATGTCTGTTTGAACAACACAATGAACCCAGGGTTGTCTTTCAGATATTGTGACCTGACCCACCAAGTGTCATCCAGCGGCACGTGCAAACCTAATATGTTTTCTAATCAAACTTTATCCCTAGCAGACATATGGTGGATATGCGGAGATGGTACCCACCTTATGGAAAACATGGTCAGGTACTTGTGCCCTGGTGAAATTAATACAACCATTTCTGATATTGTCCGGACAAGGAGGAGAAGGTATTAATAAAATGTTAATCAGACACCGGAAAGATCATTACAGGAGTAAAAGAGCAATTCCCCAAGGAAGTTTTGATAATAGAGTTTATATTGATGCTATTGGTGTACCACGGGGAGTGCCGGATGAATTTAAAGCAAGAAATCAAATTTCTGCAGGGTTTGAGTCATTAATCCCTATGATAACAATTAACAAAATATAGACTGGATTAACTATATATATTTTAATCAGCAGCGATTTGTCGGCTACACTAGGGATGCAGTTAAGGGTCTCGCTGAACAGCTGGATGCCACGTCACTGGTAGCGTGGCAGAATAGAATGGCACTTGATATGCTTTTAGCTGAGAAAGGTGGAGCCTGCGCCCTGTTTGGAACCTCATGATGCACAGCTCTATGAACGCTCTACAAAACTTACAAACTTGAAAATCCCATTGTTTTCTATGGGTATGGTTCACACCTTTCCGTATTTCAGCCCGTCTGAACGCCCTACAAAACGGCCTACGCCCAAAGAAGTACATGTACTTCTTTGGGCCATTTTGGATTGGGATACAGCCAAGTAGCCTTCGGAATCGCGCGACGGTCGCGCGATTTTTTAACCGCGAATCGCGGTAAAAAACCGCGTGACGGTCGCGCGACAGACGTGCATGCGTAATACGCCTAGGTGTGAACCCAGCCTAAGTGAGGAACAAGTCCGAACTTATTGGATTGTCTGTATTGAGTTTTCCCGTGCACGAATAAAACAAATGTAAATCTTTTCAAATATACCATTGCCTCGTCTCGATATATATGCTGGGATTCCGTCAACAAAACCCATTCCATGAAGCTCTCTACACACTGTTGCTGTGCCAATCTGAAGGCCACACAAAGTTTGGAGGTCTGTAGCTATTGACTCTGCAGACAGTTGGCAACTTCTGCGCAATGTGCGCTTCAGCATGAGCTGACCCCGCTCTGTCATTTTACGTGGCCTACCACTTTGTGGGTAAGTTGCTGTTGTTCCCGGTTGCTTCCACTTTGTTATAATACCAATAACAGGTGACCGTGGAATATTTAGTAGCCAGGACATTTCACAGAACCCCTGAATCCAATGATTTGGAGGGGTGTTCCAATACTTTTGGTAATATAGTTTATGTTGTGATCCACTGCAATGCCGGTCCATCAGCTGCCACTGTATTTGTGTGCTGGGTTCCCATCTATATAATAAATGGCACTACGGCATACCTTGTTGTCCATTGACATGCCATAAAACACGGCCTTTACTGCGTGCAAGTCCCCGCTCACCCCTTCGAGCTTTGACGTGTGCTTAAAACGTGTGTGCTGCTTGCAGTGCCATTACTTGATAATGACACCCCAAATGCAGCCAGTAAAATGCGCGTGAAAAAAACCAGGACGCATGGGGCTGAAAACACTGCATGAGCTACTGTGCCGTGTTTGTTGCGCATCCAGCAAAACATGCACCAACGCACATTCGCATGCGTTCCCACATCACATAGTGTGAGCGGGATGTAAAGTATTAATAAAACCAAAACTTCTTTTTTTTAGTTTGGAATAGAATGGAGAGGGATTTGAACCCCCATCAGGTTCTTCTTGTTGTCTGTGTCCCCATTAGGGAGATTAATTATCTTTATTTGTCCTGGTGATCGCTATCACTGAAAGTAAATCAAAAACTTTGGGTTGTCACTCGCACAGGAATAGATGGGAAATCCTCCAATTGGGGAAGCTGGTTCTAGTGACCTGTGATCAGGCTGGGCTCGGTGTGAACTCAGTTTGACCCCGCCCACTGAAAACAATGACCGCCACCCCCTCCTCCCAGGCCAATCAGTGGGGGCATTCTCCGCCCCTTTTGAGACATATAAATGCAGGTGGGGAATCCAATCCCACCCCCAATCCCCCCGGCAACCCTATTGGGCCAGGCGAGAGGGTGCCAGTCACTGTTTGAGCAGACTGGAATCACACCTAGCCTAGGCCTGTCACTACTGGTGGCCACCCGGGAATGACCTAACTTTGGAGGATTTCCTCTCACTTCCTGTTGTGGCTATGTGACAGGAAGTGAAGGGAAATCTCCCCAATGGGACATAGCTGGCAGAGAAATAGCTGTCAGGGGTTATAACCCCCCTTATTTATATATTTTGTGTTGAGTTGTACTTTAATGCACATAGCTGTGCCATGGATATGAGCAGATTCTGATAAGAAGGTCAGTGAACAGTTCTGAGGTGTCGGCCTGTGTGTGTTGTAGTACCACGGGGACGCACCGGCCATTGATGAGTGTAGTTCTGCACACAGGTTACCTGCTTCCTCATGACATTCATCACTCCCATAAAGCTGGCCAGCAGCTTGGCTTCCTCCCTGGCGGCGAATTTCTTCTCGGTTTTCTTCTTGCTACTGGTTTTCTCGGCGCCCTGCGCTGCCATTCTCCTCCGTTTCCGCCCTCAGCCCCGCCCCGCTTCCCCACCGGATCACACAGCGGCCCTCCACCGTAAACAACAACAAAAACACACGACCCGGCGGCAGCACCAAGGCTCCACTCACTCGGCACGGCCAGCTCCGCGCTGCTATTGGCTGCCGATGACGAGGTCCTGAGCTTTGGGTGCTTTGATTGGCTGGCTGGCTGCGACGGCGCATTGCTCTTCTCTCCGCCCAGTGACGTCAGGGGCTTGTCTAAGAGCTGTGCTGGGTGTAAGTGTGGGGATGGGAGTCATAGTGAATTCGGCTCCCAGCAGATTTACATTGTATAGTAGTTTGGTTAATATTTTTCAAACAAAAAAAAAAAGTAGTTTATGGTTCATTCATGTCCTAATAAAGAGCCTGTGCAGAAGTCATATTCCAACTGGAGTGCAGACAGGGAGGTGATAGAGACTGTACTAAGGGATTACAAACATCTTATGATGAACATAAAGCTATATATTTAACCTTTGCTTTAAATGTGGTACATTCACACCACATACAGTGCATTCCGGTCCGATTCTGGCCGATTTATTCCCCATTCGCACTTTCCTGTTATGGTGCAATACATTCATTATTGTGATAACGCACGGTATAACTCATTATTATGCGTTACTTTAAAGTTCCACTCCAGGCAGGATAAAAACTAGGGATGCACCAATACCGTTTTTTGGTATCGAGTACCGATTTCGTTTGGTACACGCCCATACCTAATACCGATACCAGAACTCCCATTAAGGAAGCCACCTTTTTTTTTTACTTTTTTATCACTTTTTACTTTTTTTTATTTATTTTTTTACTTTTTACATTTTTATTTATCTTGTCATCTTTTACTTTTTTTTATATATATAATTTTTTATCCTATAATTTTTTATTTATAATTATTTTCTTTTTTTATATTTTTCTTACTATTGTTTACTTTTCTTTTTTAATGTAATTATTATTACTTATTATTTCTTACTTATTTTTATTTATGTCATAATTTTTTTATCATTTTTTTTTCACCTTACTTTATTGCTGTCACACAGGAGCTAACAAGTTACTGTGTGATAGCATTTGGAGGTGGTTACTAAACAGACCAAGACCAGACTGAGTAGTTTCGCCACAGCTGGTTGCCCAGCTCTGTTTGCCCAGCTGTAGTAAAATCACAAATTCCATCATGCTCTGTTACTTGGAGTCATGCCTGTGCCTGTCAGAGTCTTGAAATGCCTCATGGGCCTTGTAGTTCCACAAAAACTGAAATGCCAAGGTTTCCTATCCCTGGTCCAGAGGCGTGTTCAGTTCCCTAGCCAAGCATTGAGTAGCTGTTCTGTAGCACTTCAGTTCGCTGCAGCAGCTTCAGTGAAGCTGTACAGTGCTAAGCAAAATGGCGGAGGACAATATTTGTGACTAATAAATAACATTTTCCAACAAATATTTTGTGTTCTTGTCCACCAAAACATTCAATTGTAAGTTCCCCCACTGAATTGATTTCCTCCATCGGGGTTCAGGCACCTTTCTCCAGCGCTGCCAGGTGTGCCCACAGTTAAAATGGCCACTGGTGCTCTGTGCCCACCTTCTCCGTCACACTCAGCACTCATCCACACATGCATCCACATTCACTTCTGCTGCGAGTGCTAAGTTAGCAATGCTGAGCGCTGACTTGTAGCAAAGCGGTCAGCCTCGGTTTGCTAACTCAGCACTCGCAGCGGCTGAGCAACTGAACGTGCAGTACAGCCTTCTCGGCCAAACCTCTCACTTCTAACTAAACCGGAAGTCAGATGGTTGGAGAACTTGAGGAGTTGGAACTTTCGATAGAACACCGGCAGCCAGGGGAATAAGTAATATATCCTTTTCCTCTACCACATAGGATCACCATACACCTTACAAACTGACTGGACAATACTTGCAGAATCAACTTTACATTTACCAAAACAATGTAATATGAGGACCGGCCTCATCTAACCAATCTGCATCCTATCAGGCAAGTACTTGTACTACACAGTTGTTGGCAGATCTAAAGTAGATCTAAAGTAGATTGTACAATCAGATTGAAGCGTGTGCTGAGCTATATATTTAACCTTTGCTTTAAATGTGGTACATTCACACCACATACAGTGCATTCCGGTCCGATTCTGGCCGGAACGCACTGCCTCGCATTGCGGCCGGCTCACTCTTTTGTCGGGCAGGAGGGGGCGTGGCTGGCCATTGAAGTGAATGGCACCGTAGCCACGCACTCCGGCCTCAATGCGATCGCCCGCACGGGATTGCAAGGCATATTGTTCCTGCAGTCTGGTCTGGTGCGATCAAAACAGTGCTTGCAGCATTTTGAGTGCACCGGACCGGACCGCAGGCACGATGTGCCTTGCGATCCCGAGCGGGCAATCGCATTGCGGCCGGAGGGCTACGGTGCCATTCACTTCAATGGCCACGCCCCCTCCTGCCCGACAAAAAAGTGAGCCGGCCGCAATGCGAGGCAGTGTGTTCCGGCCAAAATCGGGCCGGAACGCACTGCATATGGTGTGAACGAGGCCTTAAGTGTCAAATCAAAGTTATGCAGACAGGTGTTTTTGCTTGGCGGAGATCAAACACAGTCAATCACAGTACAGCAATTCCAGCAGCCGGGATGATTCTAGAAACAACAGTTCTTGTAGTTCCACAAGCACTGTTCAATACACAAAACACGGATATCGACCGGGGTTGTAGGGGACGAGAGATGTAGCCGGTATCTACTTCTTACTCTAACTTCTACTTCACTTTTTGTCTTCTCTTTCTGTTCCATGTCTTCCTTCTTCCGGGGAACTACCCTGGCCACCTCTTTTTGTTTGTCTTCTATGCTAGCTTGCCCTAGCCCATGCGTGGCACCAGAAAACGCTCTTTTCAGTGTTATAACACAGTAGTCTACCTCTAACCCGTTCTACTGCTAAACTTAGGTAATGTGTGGGAAATGGGTGTATACTAGGGATGTCCCGATGCCACTTTTTCAGGCCCAAGTACAAGTACAAGTACTTCCCCTCATGTACTTGCCGATACCAATTACCGATACTTTTTCTTAAAGGGACAGGAACTTTAAATGATCCATAATACAACTACGTGTTCTGTACTATGGATCCTGATTTAACCTATGCATGTTAGCAGCGAAGAATTGTAACTCTATTGCTGGAGTTTAGTGGAGGTATGTGCTGTATATATGTACTACATATACATTACACACGTCCAGTACACTATAGCAATAGATTTACAGCCAGCCCCGTCCCAGCTTCCCTCACTCACAGTTTCACGCCGATCCCTGTTGCCTCACGCGGTGCCTCTCGGCAACCGGAGCAGCAGTGACGCGACGCTCGGCGAGGTAAGTAAGAAGAAAAAAAAACAACATAGCGCAAGCTTTGGCGCTAGGCATCGGGGAATTTTGATAAGTACAAGTACTTGTCAAAATGCCCTGTATCGGGCCTGATTCCGATGCTAGCATCGGTATCGGGACATCCCTAGTGAAAACTATAACTGACCTCTAGGTATCTAACAGTATAAGGCAGTCATTTACAAGTTGAGTGTAGGCAAAAAGATTTCAGTTATGGGTGGGCACTGGGAATTTCTGTAACCTCTTCCATTATGTTCTCCTCTCTATTAATGTCTTGCTGTACATTTTTCCTGACCTGCAACCTGGGTATAAACCACACCACAGAGAGACGCCTTTATAGCAGCTATGGCAGGCAAGATAAAATCACACATTAGCTCGTATCTGTACCATATAACCGCTTGAATTCTGTCCCAGTCCTGCTGACTTGTAAGCTCCTTGAGGGCAGGGACTGATGTGAAGTGCTACATACATTGATAGCACTATATAAATACCTGAAATAATTACATCTGACAGTGGTGTGCAACAGCTTTTGGAATAGAATAGCCTGGCAGGGGAGATTGCCCCATCCACAATATTTAGCATGGGTGGGGGAATTGAGCTTCGGTTTCTCCTTTCTTTCTCTCTCTCTTTCTTTCTCTCTATGTCGTATATAGTACATGTACAGTACATATAGAGTGCCTGCAACAATACATTCACAATTATCCTCTGCTAACATATAGATCAGTTAATCCATTCATGTTAGCAGAGTATAATTGTAAATGTATTGTCCGCACTGTATGAGCAGTGTGTACTCTATATATACTCTATATGTAGTACATATAGAGTATATACTGCTCATACAGTGCAGACAATACATTTACAAATAAACTTTGCA